GAAAAACTCCAAAACGCAGTAGCCGTAATTATTATCTAAAATTACTTCTCCACCATTTGATTACCTCAATATTGCTGCTGATGCACTCGTAAAACTGGTGTTTTCCTGTTCCGTAAATCTATTGCCATGAAATATATATACATAAATATATAAATATATATATAGATAGATATAACGGAATAAAATGGCTTACTAAGAAATATAGATTCAGGTAGTCGGAGAACCCATTATGTCTTTTGTGCGATTAGTTGCAGCCCAACCGATTTGGATGTCTGCTCAGCAAAATACTTATATCTCCGAAACCAAATTGAATTTAGGAAAATCCTCTCGTAGACAAATTCTTGAAAAGTTAAACTATGAAAATATGCAAGAAAAAAATTCGAATTTTTTTTTAGACCAGAATACCCTCTAAAGGAGCCTGATAAGTGTATAGTTAAATGTGATGCGCTTTTAGAATATTAGTAATTGTCGAGTCGAGTAACTTGTAAATTGAAAATCGATTTTAGTACACAAACTCCCAAAATGTGAGGCTTAGCAAAATATACCATCTTTGATGTTCAATGGTGTAAATTATGAAATAAAACGATTTCAGTTGGAGAGAGTAGGATTAATACTGTAATGCAAAGAATAGATAAGTTGAGTGTTGGTCGAAATCGATCGATTCAATAGTGGTTTATTGTAGACCTAAAGAGTCTGAAAATTCATTTTAGTTTATTGAAATATTTCTTGCTAAAATTCTGTCTTATGGTGGTAAATCTTCTTTTCCTGAAGAATTGGAAGTGATCTACATCCAATTTCCTATATAAATACTTACATTACAAAACGGCGTGGAATCATTTCTAGTGCTACAAAAGTCAATTGAATCTTTTGTGAGACCATCTTTTAATTAATCTCTACATTGGTGAAATTAAAATTTTAAACTCCACAGATTAAAACAATTATTGAACAAATTTGTTAATGCGGTTTATCTATTACCATTAAATTTTCAGCCTGACCAAAGATATCCTCCTTAGTAATATTCATTTGAATTTATCCTTCACACTCGCTGATAATTAATCAGAATGCAGAGTTTGCTGGTAGTTTCGAGCCCAACTACTTCCAGCAAGAAGAAACGAAGGAGACGCGCGAAGCGAAAGAACGCTCAACAACAACAACAACAACAACAAGACCAAATAGCCGACGAAAACACACAGATTATTGGTGATGAAATTGTTCCAGCAATCAGTGAACCACGTAATCCCCAGGATGACAATCCTCCCAGCAAATCGACAAGCATCTCTTACGAGGACAATATTGAAGGTGGTTTGAAAGGAAGCGAAGGTTCACCGGAAAAGCAAAACGTGAAGAAGAAACGTAAAAGGAGGCGACGAAACAGGAAAAGTGTAAGTCGTAACGAAAGCGATTCGGGAATATCTAATCCAAGTATTAGTGACTATTCAGGACCAAATGAGGAGCTTTTTATGGTAAGTCTCAAAGATTTTATTTAGAAAAATTAAAAAAAACATACTACTGGAAATAGCATGTCGATTGTACCTTCTCGGTTGCTATTGCAGTCAATTAATAATCTCTTTGTCAAACTCTCCGACGAATTGCCTACAATAGACAAGGCGATTCAATCCCTTGATCTCACCAAAAAGAAAGAAATTGACCACTTAACCTGGCACCTAGAAATTGCGAAGACGAAATCGGTAAGTCAAGACGCGCCAGCATTATTATTATCATCATCCAAATATGGATTTTAGGCTAAATCCAAGAAGAGTCTCGTTGAAAGGTGCAACGAACGACTCAACGCCTGGTACTGCTTCATGATTCTCCTGAGATATTACCTCAGTTATTATGGAAGTCAAAGTTCAAAGGCACTTCTCTCCCTTTCTATCTGTTAATCAAGTCCTTCTAGGATCAATTCAAGGAGCACGTGAGGAGTCTGGTGAATGAAATAGTGAAGACGAAAATGATGTTTGAGGAGTCCCAATCGATTCTCAACTAATGAGAGGTAAGTGATATCTGCCCTTTTTCCCTTGAAATTGCAATGTTAGTACTAGTAATGCGGTTGGTCAACAGCGGGAGAAGTGACGTGATCTAGACTTCTCATGAAATGGGCTAAGGACGAGGGCTATTGAGGTTTTCCTTGATGTGCTTGTTAAAAGTAATCTTAAAGGACCGTTTTGGAAGACGTTTAGTGTGCTCAACTCAACAGTCTTGAGATCGATAATCATTATTTTATTTTCGAGTTAATTTTGGGGGAATATGACGATAGCTCTCGCATTCAACTACATTTTTTCCAATCCTTTTTTCACTAGTCTCCTTTTAATCCCTATTTGATTTTATATTTTCAACCTGGTGATATTTTAAAGGCTGGCATGGAAAAAACACCCTGTGTGTGTTGAATGATTGGGCCTGACATCAAAATGATAAAAATGTAAGCCAAACAGGTCCTAATTTAGTTTGTAGGTCACATGACCACCGGATAAAGTCTTCATTTTGGCAGTGTCTGATTCTTCTTTGTGTGCTTCTGTTTAGTCCTTCTCTGTATTGTGCTCACTTTTGTATATAGATTTATTGAAGTTACAAAGAAATGAAGACGAACTCTTTTTTTTGGAAAGAAATAATTCGCCAATGCTTTCAGGGATGATGCACATTAGCTATGTCATCGCTTTGCTTGAATAAACTGTATTTATTATATATTTTTTTCCAATAAATATATAATTTATATAAATCTTATAGGAAGGTGATTGATTAGAAAAGTTTATTAAGAAATATTCCGATGTCAAAGCGCCTGGTTTTATTGCTTTACTTTGTGAATTGAATGAAAGATATATTTTAAGTAAAATTTTTTTACCTTATTCGTGAGCACTGCTTAAAAAAACCTAGATACCTATGAGCAAGTGCATGCACATACCTTCGCACGTAATGTCAAACATTTTAGAATTTCAGGGATAGCGTTAAGCGGGCATGAATGGTTGGTTTGCTCATTTATAAAACTTTCATAATCTTAGGACCCGTCAAGAGTTGAAGATGTTAAATATGATTATTGCAAAACAGCGATAGAAATCAATACTCCTTGCATTTGAAGCTCTCTACCGAAATGACTTGATCAATAGGTCGGATTGGTTGGTATGTGCAATAGGCGTTGCATATCGCAAATATGACCTAGTATTCAGGCACTTTGAAAGAAAATTCTGAAATTTCATATACCTATTGAAATATTTCCATTACTTATAAAGTAGAGAAATTGAAGAATTTATGATTCCGAGGCGGGTGTATCCTTGTGACCAAATACCACTTCTGCGCTTTGAAATGAAGCCCGATCACTATTGCACTTTGCAAATAGCACTTGCTTTTTCTAGACTTGGAACCGTTTTTCAGTGTATATAATTTTTTCATTAATTTTATACTAGAAATTATATAATTTACTTCAATATTGAAATTACCACATCCTACTTAATGAATATGAGTAGTAGTGTACTACTTTAAACATTAAGATCAGATAACGTTCTTGATTTGCGAACGCATATCTGGAATTAGAAATCAATAATGTCTAAGTAAAGTGCACTTAGATGTTCGCATCGATCTCCATAACTGTCATCCCCCCAAGACAACGAAATTGAATGCACTCAATTAACAATTCCTTTGTTGACCTTCATATTTAAATAAGAAGGTCAACTCAGAAGTACTAAAATTACGGTTCATTAAGACCCCGAATATGGTGCCTTTGTGGGTAGAATGTCCTAGAGTTTCATATTACAACCAACATTAGGCCGAAAAATTTGTCAAGCATTCCCAAAATTTATCCTATATACTCCAACTACATCAAGAGAAAGGTGAAAATCAATCACTCATTAAAACGACTGGACTAGAACCAATCTCTCAAACCCCGAATTAACCGATTTCTTCTAAGGTGCTCCGCAATATTTCTAATTAAAAAAACCATAGATTACACCGAACAATTCGACGATGGATTAAAACCGGTAAAAGGGGATTTTAAAAAGGTTTTAAGTTTCCATCGAATTGGTGGCGTCTCGGAGGTCCTACAAGTAATTGGAATAATTAAATTTGAGGCCCAATAATTATTATTCAAACAGACAATAACAAACTTACTTTTTCTTTGTTCGAGTCCGCTGGATTAGAATTCTGGCTTCCAGACTCATGTTCATTTCCCGGTGTTTGCGTAGTCTACAAAATACACGAAAAACTAGGTCATGGGAAAATCGTTAAAAGCACGTGGCAAAAAGTAGAAATAGTACAATCAGACTTACCAAAGCCTCAAGGTCACATGTAAGTGTCTTCACTTGGTCATGTGCTTCGTCCATCTGCGTTTCTTTACTTTCATCAGGTTCGACACGAGACCCACTGCCTGAGCTTGTATTTCTATATGGATTCTAGTAGACGTGAAGTATCAGGTTGACTTTCCGTCAAAATATTATGGCAATATCAGATTGTAGGCATAGCCCTATATCAATATATAAAATGCACATTTACCCGCAATTTCTCCCTCATCTCAACTAAGACTGCCATCAATCGTCTGAGTTTGAGTATTGCAAACTTTACGAATTCTGAATGTTCTTGTTTCTATTGAAAGAGAAAAAAATTAGTCTAATCTTATGATTAGGGCGGTAATACAATGAACATTAGTGTCTGGATAAACCAGACCTGAAGGTCTCCCCCCCCCCCGGAATGCTGCAACCAAACTGCTTGGATTATAACTCAGCAGATGGATGGAATATGATCGTGTGATCAGCTAATTTATACTTAAAAGCATAATTATAATTGTAATGGTAATAGTAAAAATAAAAAAAAACAAGCCCATCCGTGTAGGGTTGAAATTTGAGGGGAGAGCCAAGTGGGTGTGCGATAGACTTACCTCCACGTGGTGCACCCTGGAAATATGCCTTCACTATCAACATCTTATTTGGAAGCGGAGGGGTGTGTGCGATAGACTTACCTCCACGTGGTGCACCCTGGACAGCGTGCGATAGACTTACCTCCACGTGGTGCACCCTGGGCAACTTTCAACCCTTGCTGGTTTTCTAAACAATTATTCTTAAGAATACGATAGACTTACCTCCACGTGGTGCACCCTGGACAACGTACTTTCAAATGGCAGGCGTTATGATAGGTATCATGGGGTGTGCAATAGACTTACCTCCGTGGTGCACCCTGGGCAATGTATATTTAGACTTACCTCCACGTGGTGCACCCTGGGCAACGTATCCACATATGGCAAAAGGGTCTATATTGACTTCTGACTTCAAACTACCACGACCCCCCTGGTTGTCATATTCCACTACTTTCACAGTACTCATCTCACCTTTCATCCTCCTTTGTGTCTGTCTCTTTTACATCTTTAAAACACTCATCTGTTCCCCCCCCCCACTCTCGACTTTTTTCGATTAGATGTTCCTCTCCCTCTGTGAAGCCTGAAGTCAACTAAAGGGCTAATGATAACTATCATAAAGCCTGCCATTTGGTATGAATGATATTAAAAAGCTTGCAGCTGAGATAATGCAATAAAGTCTTACACATATGAGATGTTAACAAAAAAGTTGCTCTCTCGAGTAATCAAAAGAACGGGAAGCGAAACAAAGCACGCAAATGCCTGCCAAGTCAAAGATAATGAAATTAGTATCCAATACTGCCAATGTGCTTGCATAACATGGTTGATGTTGAGATCAAGCTGCTCCTGATCCCAAAAACACCCTGAGAAGGCAAGTAGGCACAAAGTCGTGGCAGAGATAAGGTTTCAAGGGTCAAAACACCAAGCAGTATCGATTCATGTTTGACGAGGAATGAAGCTCTGCTTTAACAAGATAAATATTATTGTCACTAATTGTAGGCAGATTTTTGTTTGCTGAGGTAACGAGACCTTTGTGTTATGTGAAAAACTGGTTTTCACAAGCACAAAAATCCGTGACACCTTCAAGAGGCCAGAGTTATTCACACTTCTGAATTTCAACAAAGCGCCACACTTTGTCCTGAGACCAGGTTAAATGCTACTGTGCGGGGATCAGTCTCAGGCACTCACCTCCACAAATTTTGAGTCCTATAGCAATCACTTCATCTTTGTTTTTCTCACATTTTGATACAAATATGGTAGGTGTGCGCATATAAAACTCACCTTTTCATGTTGGCTAAACTCCTTAATTGAGCGAGCTAACTTATAGAGAAGCAAAGTCCACGAAGTCAATGCGCAATTGATGAAGAAGATGGAATCCTAAAAAGGAATCGCACTTTAAGCAAATAGCACAAAAAATATTTCAGGCACATTGAAGAGAGCTTACGATGTCAGAACTACTTTCTTCCTCCGCCAACGCTTCCGTCAAGCCTTGAACATACTCCTCCAGTTGTTTACGCTCTTCGTCATTGGGGATAGTTTGGACTATTTCCTTCAATCTCGGAAACTCTGCCTTAAGGGATTCAAATATTGTTTTCGCCACCTAAAAAGCAAATGCTTTTCCTCCATTTCACCTAAAGGAAGGGGTTTTCAGTGGTAAAAAAAGTAACTCGAACAATCGTTGCCAAATCAAAAGGCAAGAGCTTATATTTAATAAAGAAAGTGTCATATAAAAATACTGAAGTGATAGTGAATGGATGTGAATTATTATCCTGTTCATCAACGAAGTTCACGGCCTTCATTGGTTTCTCCCACAAATGTCTGGAAGGGTCATTTTGTGCTACTGCAATTTCCAACTTCGACGACGGCCAATCAATAACGTAGATGTCCAGGTTCTCTGGAGCCAAGATGAGTTGAGGTGACCTATGATAAAAGCTAAATCTCACCGTCTTGAGCTCACAGAAATAGCATATATATATATATATATATATATATATATATACTGTCTCCAAGAGACCAACTCTCAAATTTCCACAACTTTTATAGGGACTAGAAATGAGAAAAAAATTAAAGTAAACGAAAACCATTCGAGAGAGCGTTTTCCAGCCTGACCAGCGAGATAGTTCGATGGAAACACTGAAAATTTAACTGCTTAAGCTTGAACAGTGCTCAACGAGAATATAGCTTAATATATGTTTTGAGTAAAATTATTCAGTGCTTTCAAAATTTATTCACCCTCTTGGGGGCTAAAATGCATTTAGACTTTTTCACACCACTATTCTACTTTGAGCCAAAATATCCGATTCATAGACAATGAAGTGCGTTTGGCAGGCTCGATTTTATTAAAAAAGATATGTTCTGAGCACGGGGTGTGCGATAGACTTACCTCCACGTGGTGCACCCTGGGCAACGTATACCCATGCGGCAAAAAAGTCTTTTAATCGGCAGTTGACTTCTCACTTCAAACAACCAACACCCCCACTGTATGTCATATTCGACCCCTTTCACAGTACTCATCTTACCCTTTCTGAGCCTTTGTGTCTGTTTCTTTTACATCTTTGAAACACCCTTCTATTCCCCCTCCTGAATTCTTCTCATTTTGATGTTCCTCCTCCCCTCTGTGAAGCCCGAAGTCAACTAAAAGGGCTAATGATAACTATCAAAACGCCTGCCATTTGTTATAAATATAATATGTGTTCTGTGCACTGGCGAAGTGACTAAAGTCGAGATAAAACTTTGGTCTCTGGAAATAAACTTCATTCATTTGAGAATAACACACCTTTCCGTAAGCTAGTATCAATCAAATTATATTTGAGCAGATTGTAGGCACATATGTAAAAAAGCAACTAATGCCCACATAAATTTATAAAAAAAATATTTGTTCACTCAAAAGTAGTTGAACAGAGGAAGGACTGCTTGAGTAGAAGCTGGTCATCCAAGAATTCTAATTTATTTAATTTCTGAAATTAACAATTTGTCTAAGCTTTGGGTGTGACTGAACACTTAAAAGTTAGTAATGATGATAAAGTGCAATTGTTTGGAAGACAAAATTCCAACATTCGGTTCATCAAATCCTGTTAAATTTCCATTAGGATAGAATGGAATATTTTTTTCTATTAAGTAAAAATGTACAATAAAGTAACAATTTGAAATGCTTGTTTGTTCTACTATAAATTGTTTATAATTTTACATTTCTCTCACAGGGGCGGTTGATAGACTTACATCAACGTGGGGAACTCCGGGCAAAATGCCCATAAACCGACAGTTGACTTCTGACTTCAAACTACCATGACCAGACTGACCATATGTCATATTCGAACACTTCGGCAGTACTCGCCTTGCCTTCTTCTACATCATTTTTTCTGTCTGTCTTTCTTACATCTGTGAATCACTCTTCTGTCCCCCCCCCCACCAACTCAAATTTTTGCGACTTTGATGTTTCTCCTCACTGTGAAGCCCGAAGTCAACTAA